ACAGTTTTGGAACCGGCGGACACCTTCAGGCATGCGGCAGGGCCGGCCTCAGAGCCATGTGCCACATGTGCCCCCGCACAGGGCGCAAAACTAACCCGGGGCGCCTAAACGTGACTAAATATACGAAGCAATGATGGTTGCCACCCTCAGTTTTACTTCAGAAAGTGAAAATGCCTTCCGTTTCGACGTCAATTGACCCTTCTCCATTCTGGGGGGCGGGGCTTCGGGAGTCTCTTTGCCAAGGGCGCCAAAATAGCTACGGCAGGTGTCGTATGATACTTTTCCCCCCGTAATATTTTTCCCCACCTCCATTAATGGAAATGAAGGAACTTCGCCTCGTTCCTAGGCGGCTATTTCTTCCGTGCCTCTTAGTGTTCCTTTTGCGCCTCCATCTGCTCTGCTAATGTCTAAGCCAGTGTCGACTCCTCGGGGCGATCTTGAAAGCCACATCAAAGATTCCAGGCAACGGAGGTAAAAGGCAAATGAAGGCAGGGAGGAAGAGACATCGTCCTCTACAGGAGGATGTTCTGCTATGATATCGTTTGGTCAGTTTCTGACAGTAAAGATTATATTCTCTTTTCGCAATCGTCAAACTTACAATTCTACTTTTTTTTAAACGAACTCTCTTCATTTCCATTAAGGGAGGTGGGGAAAAATATTACGGGGGGAAAAATATCATACGACACCGGCTCTGCATGCGGGTTTCCTGAATGGCAGGTATGCCTAAGAATCAACTGAAAAAGGTATACTGTATTTTCCTATTTAATGTACCAAACCAGCTTGATTCAGACCCCATTTGCTACGGGGGGGGTCTAAGATCCAACTTGTCATTCTGATGCTGCTACACACTGTAACTGAGGTAGCGCCTGAAAAGTACACGTAACAGTACCCCATAAGCTATGCTCCGAGGAACGTCTATTCCTTCGATTGCACATATGCAATCTGCAAGGATGTCCTTCACTCGTCCAGCGCCATCTCTTATACTCTTTATCTAGCTGTATGAAAGTCATGTCACGAATCTTTATTCTGGTGACGTCATTGGAAAGCTGCATGTACAGAGGCCCTACTGCGATTTTAGCAAACTCTTGGGGAGCAGTGGCGTAGGCAGAAAATCGGCAAGGGGAGGGGGGGGGGGGTTGAGGCCAGGTCCCAACCCTACGCTTAGCTCCACCACTCGGAATGTACCATTTTGAAGAAATTGTGGTCAGGCATCTTGGGTCTGTGGATGGACATTGGACTTTCCTCGAAGGGGGATAGCTAAAACTGCTTAAGGGTTCCTTCCGACTTTATACGGACAGACAGTGACTGGTCCTTCGAGTTCTCCCGTGGTTTCTGACCCCCAAACCCCCCCCCCCCCCCTTCCCTACGCCACTGCTGTGGAGTGATAAAGATGACTCACGTTTATTTTTCGCCCACTCTGTATATTTGGGACCTGGTAGACTCCAGTGGGAAGTGCGAAAGAGACTCTAGGCGTGTCTCGGGGTCACACCATCCTACATCCTACGATTGCCTCTCCTTCACTCCCTGAACAACCTGCGCCCAGTTCTCGGATACGTGGGGCCATGGACCAGCCTTGGTCTCGCGTTCGGGAGCACCATCTGACTGGGCTTCGCTGTTCTGCGACTAGGGCCGTACGGAGGGGGGCTGCGAGCGGTGCGCCCGCGCTGGGTGCCGATTTCATGAGTCACCAATTGACTGGTATATCACGACTAAGTATGGAATAACTCTTATAAGCAAATTATCCTGAATTTGAATTAAACATATAAATCAGTACGTTATGTAATGTTGGTGTTAGGGAAGCTGAGAGATATGGAGTGGAGTGGGAAGGGGGAGCGCTGGATTGATATCTTGCACGTGGGGGCAGGATATCTCGCACAGGGCGCCAAATACCCTCAGTACGGTTCTGTTGCGGCGTAATTATTTATCCGATGCTTATGCGAACATAGTCTAAATAAACTCAAGTGGCGTAATTGGGGATGGAAGAAAGTCAGCAGACAGTCATCACGTGCGACATTGTTTGGGGCTCTCCGCATTCGCATAGTGGGTTATCGGTGGTCGTCAGCAAAACAGCGTCCACCACAGGTCCGAAAGCGATTTAAACGGGTCCACAATCGGTCGAAGCCTGGTGGTTCGATGGAAGGGTCGTCGACTAGCTGGCGATCGGTCACCGTCGACTCGGACCAGTCCTCGCGCCAGCTGGCCTGATGGCAAGATGGCCCAGAGGGGGGGGGGATGAGAGACGATGTGTTGGTGGGTCGAAGAGGGCGGAATGGAGAAGCGAGGCAGGACTGGCATGAACAGGAGTCATGGTCTTTTCAACGGAGACCTCACGGGGAAGTTGTGGTGGGGCTTTGTGACAGCCCGGGTGGACTTGTCATGGAACCGGCATTTTCGGGTTCAGCTGCACATCTGTGAGTCTAGTGTACGAAGACAGTGTCCAGACCGGGGTACAGTCTTCGCATCTTCTCACCACCCCGAGGTACACTGGGTTCGGATCGCGTCGCATTTGTTGGCCATTTAAGCTCACAGACACGCTACGGTGGACGAAGCCGGCACCCGATCGCAGGTACTACGACCATGAATTATAGCAGACGCCGAGCGAAGAGATCGCTCTCCCTCGCTGCACTGCATGGGTTTGCCAGGCTTTAGCAATGCATTCGCCTTTTGCCCTCCATCTGTGAGCGATTCTCGTTCGGCACCCGGATGAACACAACCGGTTCTACGCCCAGGGGCCAAGGTGTTTCAGGATTTCTGGTCGGATGTTGTCGAAGCCTGGAAGCCTTCATCGGGCAAAGGGTAACGTTAATCTGCAATGGGGTGAAGACGGCAGGGTGGTCGCAGTCATCGGTGTCGAGCAGGAACTCTTTTCGCTCCTTTCGCATCTTTTTCTCGAATACCTTGTCGCAGGTTAAACTTGGTTTATTCGCAGGATGTGGCTGGCAACTGCATGATGCAGCGCTTCGACGCTGAGAGCCCTCGCGGCCCGAGGCAAGTGAATTCCTGGAGTTCTCCCCCGCTACTTTACGCATATACAATACTTTTTTTGAACTTAACGTTTTTAATTTCCTTCGGGGGCCCCTGGAAGAGTGGGGTCCGGGGCAACTGCCCTCCTCCTTAATCGGGTCCTGCCCGACGGGCAGGACCCGATTCGGTCAACTGAAGGCATTCTTCCCGGACCACGGCCAGGTACTCAGGAAGTGCGAGGTGAACGCAGACATATCGCCCCCATTGTCGCACTGCGACAATGCCCCACTCACTGATCTGGGGGAATCCCCACAGTGCCTCCTCCACCCTAATGAGCCTACCAGCCACGCCCTCCCTCTCCATCTCCTTCGCGTCCATCCCGACCCCTCTCACCTCCTCCTCTGCACTGATTAGTCTGTTAACTCCCTTAGCTGGTCCACCAAGGCAATAGAGCCACCAGCCGCGCGTAAGTCCTTGCCCGACACCAACCGCTCCTCCGAGCCATCCTTCTTTAATTTAGTACTGTACTTACTATTCGCTGCTGCTGATCCTCCCTTACCTTACCTTACCTGATCTTCGAACTACTGATATTTCAGATATACCTATAAATTGCCCGGCCTCTTATAACCGTACTCTGACTCTCAAGAAATAAAACCGTCTAGCTCAATGATTGCACCAGAAACAAAGAAAAAACTGGCCGACAGACACAACTGATAAGAAACTATAGAGCTTGTTAACACGGGCCTCTTATTTACCCTTAGGGATAAGTAGCCAAAGACGTACTGCCCACTGAGTGGTAGACACCATAGCTAACACGACAGTGCTTACAGACCCAAAGGGAAGACGTCCTCACGCTACAAACGCTCGACCATCTGAACTTCAACACAGGCTCCACGCCACCATCCTTCGCGTGCTCTGCACACTGGTTAGTGCTCCCTTTGGTGTAGCAAGTTCGATAAGTTCGAAGTTCCAAACCGGAGAGGACGGTCAAAAGTGGAATACATTTTCATCTGACATGGAAGCTAAGCCAAAATTCCTGCCTCAGGTATTCAATCAGTCAGCTGCCCTCTCTTGTCATAAGTTAGAGCATGTTAGCATGCTGTACACGGTTTGACCAAATTAAACTATCTTTAATTAAATTGAATAATCTTTATTTTATCTCTAGTTCCATGCAGCATTCCTGGGATCTATGAATGGGATACTTGGGGGATTCCTTGTGGGATTTTCATCAGTGGGATTACCATCTTTTGAAAAGGATAAGAATGCTCCCTTCACCTTAACCAGTCAATCCAAGGCCTGGTTTGGTCAGTCTCTTTGACTTTGTGATTTCCTATTGTTTCTTTATCATATCACAATTACTCAAGATTGGAAAGATGAACTTATTCCAATGCATTTTTATTTTTCAAGCAAGATATCCAGTTTATAAAATTGCTCATCCTTGCACCAAAGTTTCCAAGACTTCATTAAACAATTAAAATGAAGTCTGCACCATTCATTGTAACTGTCAAAGAAAAGCCTTTCATCATGAAATGTCAAATAAAGAATGACCAATTGTAAAGTTAAGCCAAATGACCTAGGAAGGAAGGACAATAGAGATGAATAAATGTATGGCATTTCTGCTTTATTTATCTAGAAGGGACCTTGAGACATAGAAATGACAGACAAGAATCCTGATAAACGAACGTAGGGAAGTTACCGTCATTATCACACCGTCTTTCCTTCGCAAGTCATTCAAATTTAAGTACTAAGGGAAGTCAGCTCTAAAAAAAGGCCAACTGCCTTTTTCCTATTTGTGGCATGACCATTCAACAAACTGTGGATAAATCTCCCCAAAGGTATTTCTGAGATGTGCCTTTGTCTAACAATGACAAGATCTCATATTAGAATTTTACTCTTGGACCATCAGACATCTGTAACATCAGGTTAGTAAACTTTTGCAAGTATTGGTAGAGCACCATCAATGAAGGTTGAAATCAAGGTTGACAGGGTGATATAGTCCCTTTGTCTTAATACGAAGCTTGCCACAACCTCCAAAGATGAGTTAAAAGCAGAAATTCAATTCCAATTAAATGCTAATTGAACAAATCTTGAACAATCATGGAAAGCTCAAGTGACTCCATAGATGTCACTCCAGCTTTCCATGGAATAAGGTATTGATTCTTACATTTCTCAAGAGCTGTTCAAGATAGCTATTCAAATGCTAAAATGGTTGCATTAATGATGACTCAAAAAGGAAGTGAAGGCACTATAAGATTATTTTTATTTAGAGAAGCAAGATATAATGCATTTGAATTAATTAAAAGCATTGCATATTTTGACAGAATCATGCTGGAGACAGATGTAATTACTTGGGGAATCATCATAGATTTCCTCTAAACCATCATATAAAAAACCCAGGAAATGCAACTCAACAGGCATGAAAATGTGATGCACACCCTTTTTCACATCAGAATATAAATGAATGATTTGATTGATCCTAAATAATTTATCTCCTCTTTCACATTGAGAATTTATCACATAAACAATTAAATGAACCAACATCTGTCANAGTGACTCCATAGATGTCACTCCAGCTTTCCATGGAATAAGGTATTGATTCTTACATTTCTCAAGAGCTGTTCAAGATAGCTATTCAAATGCTAAAATGGTTGCATTAATGATGACTCAAAAAGGAAGTGAAGGCACTATAAGATTATTTTTATTTAGAGAAGCAAGATATAATGCATTTGAATTAATTAAAAGCATTGCATATTTTGACAGAATCATGCTGGAGACAGATGTAATTACTTGGGGAATCATCATAGATTTCCTCTAAACCATCATATAAAAAACCCAGGAAATGCAACTCAACAGGCATGAAAATGTGATGCACACCCTTTTTCACATCAGAATATAAATGAATGATTTGATTGATCCTAAATAATTTATCTCCTCTTTCACATTGAGAATTTATCACATAAACAATTAAATGAACCAACATCTGTCATATCTTGCAGTGAGTACGGTGAGTCTGGCTCTGGTGCTGGGTGGCCTGGTGGCTGCACAGATAGCAAAACACTGGAGTCGCAAGTGGCTTCTCATTGCACTCCACTTCCCAATATTTGCTTCCTGGCTCATGATCACATACCCAGTAAACTTTTCCATGTTCATTGTTGCTCGTGTTCTTGGGGGATTCTTCTTGGGTATTCGAGACCCCATTGCTCAGCTGTATGTAGCAGAGATTGCACACAAGGATCAAAGAGGTCTATTGGCATCATGCAATATGCTCTATGTTGCATTTGCAATCATGCTTGCATACATCCTGGGAACATTCATGGAGTGGAAAGCACTTGCATTGACTGGGATTAATCCCCATGGCATTAATACCCATAGTCCTTTTTGTACCAGAGTCACCTACTTTCCTCCTCTTACACAAGAGGCATGAAGAGGCAGCTGCAGCCCTAAGAAAGCTTCAAGGCCCACATTATGATGTCACAATGGAAATGGACCAAGTCATCAAGCACATCAAAGAATCCCAAGAAACAAGATCTCATTTCAGAGATATTTTTCAATGGAATTATCTAAAACCAGTTGGGTTAGTGGCACTGATGATGCTGTTTCGTCAAATGACAGGAATATATGTTGTACTCAACTTCACAGTTGATATTTTTGAGGCTGCTGGAGAAGGATTTGCTGATTCACATGTTTCAACTATCAGTGCTGGGGCTGTACAATTTGTATTTCTCATCATCTCAAGCCTCCTCATGGACCGTGTAGGGCGTAAACGCCTCACAATCATCTCCTCCTTCCTCATGGCCTTTGCCCACTTTGGCTTTGGACTATACTACTACTTCCTCGACAATGAACTGCACCTGGAAACTCTGAAAAGCCTCTACTGGGTCCCCATTGTTACACTGTGTCTATTTGTGGCAGAGTTTTCCTTGGGAATGAGTTCAGTAGTGTTTGTGCTTCTGGGTGATTGCATTCCATTGCAGATTCGAAATCAGGCAACCAGTATATTACTTAGCTGTAATGGATTGTTTTCCTTCATGGTCTTGAAATTATTCCCATTCATGCAGAAAAGTCTGGGCAACTATGGGACTTTCTTCTTTTACTGTGCAAGCTGTTTTGTGATTGGGATCATATGCATTTTCTATCTACCAGAAACAAAAAGACAAACACTCCATGAAATTGAGCAGAAACTAACCATGTCAAGACTTGCACATATACCTGAAGAAGTTGTCCAATTGTCTACTAATGTGCAAAAAAAAAGAAAAAAAGTTCCCCAGATTATGAGTTGAGGACAGTCATAGAGACATCCTAGCTTTGAAGTTATTCATGAAACAATGATACTCAGACCTTTCTGCTAAGAGATTAATTGTCTTTTTGTCATTGTTCTAGCTTTGAATGATATGAAAATACTTAATTTTGCTGTTCAAAGCTCATGATAAAAAAGTGTGAATAGTGTAAATGACTTTATGTGAATTATTCAAAGTTGTGACACTTTTTCAAAATAATCTAAGGAGTTATGTCAACTGCAATGCAGCTACACTGAAATATTCAACCTATAATGGCCGATACATACAACTGGTAGCCATGGTTAACACCTGCTCTCATTGCATCAGTCCATTTTGAGTGACCTAATAACCTGTTTAACTGGTATATGGTAGTGCAGCTGATTATGTTTCCTGCATCATGTTCATAGAGGAAGTTTTAGCTTCGTTAGCAAAAGCATTATCATTTTCATACCATTCCCTATATTTATATTTTCATGTTTTAATCAGAAATTATGTATTCTAGTGTATCCATGTTGTAGGGATTTATTTGTCCCACTCTTCAGTTACAGCAAAACTGTGCATCATCAAAGCAAAGCAGACTTCATTTCCTGAATAATTTATCAAATTCTACATTTGCTGCTTAAATTTGAGTCATATGTGTATCCATCACTAGCCCATGGGTCAACTTCAAGGTAAAATGGCTAGGATTCCAATAATTTCAGAAGAGGCTGATTGTAAACTCAAGAATTCACAGGACTGTTCAACATATTCCAAAAAGTGATAGCAGTAAAACTGCTGCCAAGGAGGTTTACTGGGTATCTGAACTTTAGCCTAAAAATCTTTCATGATTTTCCACATTTCCTTCATAGACATTGAGGTGAGAAAAAAATTTTTAAACAAGGGGCCCACTCATGAAGTGTCATTCGATCAATAGTTCCGAGCATCACTTAAGCTGAACTTGTCCCATATCTGCAGAAGCTTGAAAATACATTTTATGTTCATCATGTGGTATTTATATCATTATAATGGCAACTGTTCTGAATCCTTTGCCTCTTAGTGCCTTTTTGACAATCACATTATAATGTTCCTGACCTTAATGTCTGAGAAAACATGGAGGTTGAGTTGAAGAACTGATGCTTCACGAGTCTCCTGGATAACAATATTTTGGTCAAATTTGTAACAGGTTAAAAGAGTTTACTTTATCAGCATAACAATATATTTTTCTTCCCTTTGAAGCTGACCAACTGGAATTTCTCAGGAGGGATATTGAAGCACAGGTTGTGGGCCAGTCTGGCCAGTCAGAACCTCTCCTTCCCCTTCCCCTCCCACAGGAAAAAAATATCTATTCCATTGCAATTTTTTTTTCAGGATTGAATTTTCACTGACATGTTCTTCATGTACAAATGGTTGGAGCTGAGAATTCATGAATGAACTTTAGGATGTCCATAAATTGACTACCTATGAGTAATATTTTTCATACTGAATCTGGAGGAACCCCTTTTATATTTGTGTAATCAGTTTATAGATAGACCTCAGAATGGTGTCACATCTTTTGCTCCCCTACTCTGGTGTGACTGAGAATTCATTTTCCAGACCCTTGTTTCAATTAAAGGTTCAGAAATATGGAGCAGAGCATTCTGAAATGAATGTGAGAAAAGCATTGTTTACAAGGACAAGTCAACTGATATGTACAATTTCGAAAATAATATTTATTGTGCCATAGGCCAATAATTTGTGAGATTCTTGCAGATTTTCTTGACAATGCAATTCCCTTGGCTCAGGAAAGTTTGGAAATCAGTAGTTGACAAATTCAAATGCTTGTTGATTAAATTCTTAATAGTTATGGTTTTGAATTCTCAAAGTACTTTTTTTTATTCAATCAATACTCTAATGATTATGAGAAGCTGGTGCAATAAGGTAAAATGTCAATTTATCTGCCTTACAATTAAAACCATGCTTGCATGCACCCTTGGGACATTCATGGAGTGGAGAGCACTTGCATTGACTCTTGGTATAATTCCCATGGCATTAATATAACCCATAGTCTTCTTTGTACCACAGTCACAGAGTCCCAAGAGACATAAGTCAAACCATGTCAAAACTTCATGTGTGCTTGAAGAACTTGTCCAATTGTCTACCAATGTTTCAAAAAAAGTTCCCCAGAGTATAAGTTGAGGACGATTGAAATAGAGACATCATTTGAAAGCTCTGCATAAAACAATGATACTCAGATCTCACTGCTAAGAGATCACTATGTTTTTGTCATTGTTCCAGCTTTGAATAACATGAAAATACTTTATTGTTCAATGCTCATGATGAAAAAAGAATTGTGAAGTGAGGTGAAATGAATCATTCAAAATTTCTAATTCCTTTTTCAAAATAATCAATGGAATTCTCTCAACTGCAGTATAGCTACCTTCTTCAGGATTCTACATTCAGTGATTGAGACATACATCTGGTAGCTATTATCCACTCCTGTTTTCATTGGAACCGTCCACTAAGAGACTGTATTATCGGACATATCTACCATTTACCATCACGTGGACGAATTCAAAGGACGTGGTACAAGAATCTCCTTTCAGACCGACTGTAATTGTAGTTACAATAGTAAAAAGTGTAGTAAAGGTTAAATTTTAACTTCCATTTTCTAATCAGATGAAGCATTACAGTATATACAGAACATAATGAAGTCTTATTCCCCTTTTTCAGTTGCAGTGGAATTGCACATAATCAAAGCAAACCAGAATTAATTTCTGAATAATATATCAAATTCTACATTTCCAACTTAAATCTGAGCTTTAATCTCATGTGTATCTGTCACTGCCTAGGTGTCAGCTTCAAGGCTAAATAGGTAGGACTGCAGTAAATTCAGAAGCTGATGGTAAACTCAAGAATTCACAGGACCGTTCTAATTATTCCAAAGAGTGATAGCAGGAAAACTGCTTCCTAGGAGACTCACTGGATATCTGAACTTAAGCAAAATCTTTCAGGATTAAATCCAAGTCTTCATAGACATTGAGGTAAGAGGGCTTTGAAACAAAGAGGCCCACTCATGAAGAATTGTCCTTATGTCAATTGTTGTAGGCATCACTTCAGTTGATCATTGTTCCCCTTTCTGCAGATAGAAAACTTATTGGACATTCATCATGTGGTATTTATTCATGATAATGCCAATCATCCTGAAGCCCTTGCCACTTAACAGTTTCTGACAATCACATTATAATGTTCCTGACCTTAATGTCTGAGAAAGCATGGAGGTTGAGTTTTAGAAATGACACTTTTTGAGCCTTCTGTATAGCAATTTTCTGTTGATCACCTAGGTGATCATCAGATGAGCTTGGGTAATAGGTTGGAAGAGTTCTCCTTATCAGCATGAGCACAAGGTTCTTGTGAACCCAAGGTGACAAATGGGAATTTCTCAGGAATGGTATCCAATCAAGGAATGGCTGGACTGTCTGCATCCCCATTCCCTCCTCTCCATCCAGAAAAAAAATTCTGTAATGATATATATATTTTTTAAAGTCTTTCTCTGATGTCCTTCAAGTACAGAAGCTTGGAACAGGGAATCCATGAAAGGTAACTACATATGTGTCTGCTTTCTTTCTTCTACTCATCAACCGAAGGACCTACACCCAACGAGTCTAGAGGTGATGAACTACAGAGTTTCCAGATATCATTAAATGTGGCATCTCCATGAATTAGCCTCTGCCATCATCATGCTACTGCAACCCCCTTACTATGTGCAGTTGTGGAAGGATGGAGTACAGAAAGACTAAAAGGAAAAGAAGCTGAAGGAGTTGTGAGGAGAATACCCATTCTCAGTAGTCTGTAGGTAATAGGGCAGCAGGCTTCAAAATCTGGACTCCAATCAATTTGGGAAATGCAAAGGTCATACAGCTGTTTCTTCATGACAGTATCATGTCACTGGTTCACAAAGTTATCCCTAGTATGCTCTTTACTCTTCAGTTTAATACCAAATTCTTTTTGGATTTGCTGCAGTCCTAACCATCTTGTTGCTTTCAAGTCAACATCCAGACTTTGAGTTAGCACATACAAGAATTAAATTTAACCCACAGTTAGGTTCCAGGTGAAATATAATTTTTCAATTTCAACCTCAAAGTAAAAGTTATAGTTTTTAATTGCATCTAATGAAATAGTGAGTAGGAAATTAATAGTAACCTGAAAATTATAATTAGTTACATCTTCAGAATAAAACTGAAATGGCAATTTGTATTTGGAATGCATCCTTAGAAGTAATAGCCCAATACAAGAGATCATTGACCCTTCTTCAACCAATTCACATGCTCTGGCAGCTTTCCCAACTCAAGAGGCTCAGTCACATGCAAAATCCTGCATTCCTCCCTTTTAACTCAGTGGAGATGTATCCATCAGACAAGGGATGAACTGCCTGCTTGTCAGTTGCACAGAGCACTTCCAAACTCTTTGACAAGGACAGGACAGAGACCCTTCAAGAGACTCAAGATGATACACTTCGCAACTTAGAGGTCAAAATCTCTAGAAGGAACGTACTGATGTCGGACAGGTCCAAGTCTTTCCCGGTGAAAATTAAGTGTTCTTCCACTGCATTTAAGCAAGCATTAGAAGTCCTTGACCCCTTTCCTTCCCTCAAAATATCACCCATACATTAATCAGCCCAAGGGCGGTTTAAGTGGCGCCCTGCTCAGGCTAGGGATGGGGGGGGGGGGGGGCTGGGGAGATCATCCCGTGATACAAATGCTCAAGAGTGCGGCTCCTCGAGAAACTCTGCTTCCAAATCCGCCTCTGTGGCCCTTCACATGACTGTTCAGTTTCATGTTAGGCTGTGACAGGTTATAAAAAAAATGACATCCATTAAGGATCTATGTCTTTTGGTCCTTTCCGGGTCTGGAAGGGCTGTATAGAAACTTTTAATTTCGGTTCGCTTGTCACAAGGGCTTGGAGTACATGATGAAGGGTGTCATCAGTACTCGTAACCAACTTGTTGTGACAGGATGAGAGGGTGAAAAGATCAATATTTGGAACGTGGCAGTGGGAAGTGTGAAAGAGACCCAAGGCATGTCTGGTGGTAATAGCATCCTACATCCTATAACAGTTTTCACCTTTGCTCCCTTCATAACCTTCGCCCACTTCCGGGATACGTGGGAGAAAGGATCAACCTTGGTCTCGTAGTCGGGAGCGCCATCTGACCGTGCTCCATTGTACTGCGATGTTTTTATCTATCGAATGCCTACGCGTATACGGTCTAAACATGTATTCAAGTGGAGGGGTTGGTGATGGAGGCAAGTCAGCAGACGATCATCATGTGTGACATACTTTAGAGCTCACCTCATTCCCACAGTGGGTTACCGTGTCACACCAATCTGTCGTCGTTAGCGGCGCAAACGCCCACGACCTGCCTGTGGGCGATTCACACAGGTCCACAATTTCCGTTGATGGTGGCAGCCTGGTGGTTTCACGGAAGGGTCGTCGACTAGGTGGATATCGGTCACCGTCGACTCAGATCACTCTTCTGTGATCCTGTGATAACGTGACACTGCTCCACAGCTTGATGGCCCGCTCCACAGCTGATGGCCCAAAGCGGGTGCCGCGATGGACCAGTGGATCTAAGCGGTCGGAGTGGAGAAACAAGGCAGGGCTTGATTGTGCCAGGAGCCGTCATCTCAGCGATGAAGACCTCACGGCGTAGTTGTGGCGGAGCTTTGTGACAGCACGAGGAAACATGTCGCGGGTGCGATCTTAACTTGGGGGCCAAGGTGCTTCAGGGACTCTGATTGGATGTTGTCGGCACCTATTCCGGACAGATTGAGGTTACCGCCTGAATTCATCGGGCAGCGGGCAACGTCAGTCTGTGATGCGATGAGGACGGCGGGTGAGTCGAAGTCATCAGTGCCGAGCAGGCCGTTTCGCGCCTTTTTCTGAAACACCTTGTCGGAGGCAAGGAGGATTTTGGGCACTCAGTGGCTGGCAACTGCATGATGTCACACTTGGATACTGAGAGCCCTTCGACATTGAGCTGCAGGATTCGTACCGCTGGCCCTACAGCTCGGAAGTTGTCCTGACAAGACATGTCGCGGTACAAGTACCAGATGCAGTATCTGAGGTGATGTGGTGCTCGCATATTGACCCGACTCGATCTGCTGGTGGCACCTTTCCCTTGCCATTGCCAGAAACTCACAGGGAGCGCGAGGTGAACGCATCGCCTCCCATTGTCGCACTGCGACAATGCTCCACTCAACCACTGATCTGAGGGAATTGGCGCAGTACCTCCTCCACCCAAACGAGCCTCGCGGCTACGTCACACCCTTCCGATCCCCCGCGCGACCATCCCTGACCCCTCTCATCTCTTCTATACTGATTAGTCTGACTTTAAGCACCACCTCATTTCCGAGTCATCCTCTTATAATTCGCTGCTGCTGATCCTCTCTTACCGTACCTAATCTTTGGACTACTGATAATTCAGATCTATATTTACATCGCCTCGCCTTTCATAACCGTACTCGCAAGAAATCACAGCGTCTGGCTGAATGAGTACACCAGAAACGATGAAAAAACTGGTCAACAGGTACAACTGATTAAAACTATTGAGCTAATTAAAACGAGCCTCTTATTTACCTTTAGGATGATTAGCCAAAGACCGTCTGCCCTACGGAGTGATAGATACTACTGCTAACTCACGACAGTGCTGACAGATCCAGAGGCAACGCCCAAGACTTGCAGGACCAATCAAGAGGGAAACCACATCTTTCAAACTTCTGAGGATTTGGCCTCCCGGTTTTCACTTATACATTTTCATCTGACATGGAAGCTAAGCCGAAACTCCTGCCTCAGGTATTCAATCAGTCAGCTGCCCTCTCTTGTCACACGTTAGAGCACATTAGCATGCAGTGCATGATTTGAGAATATTAAATTATATTTTATTTAAGTGAATAATCCTTATTCCATCTCTAGTTCCATGCAGCGTTCCTGGGCACCATCGGTGGGTTAGTTGCGGGATTCACTGTGGGCTTCACATCAGTGGCATTACCATCTCTTGAAAAGGATGAGAATGCTCCCTTCACCTTAACCAGTCAATCCAAGGCCTGGTTTGGTCAGTCTCCCTTACCTTGTGCTTTCCGATTGTTTCTTTATCATGTTACAGATATTCAAGAATTGGCGAGCCCTACTTATTCCAATGCATTCTAGTCACAGATCCAGTTTAAACAAAATTGCAATGGTGGAATAGTGCAATTGGCACTAAATGGTGTTCACTGTAGGTGTTTACTTTGGCTTTTTCATGGCATGACACATTGATTCTTACATTTCTCAAGAGTTTTTCAAACACTCAAGAAAGCCATTCAAATACTTAAATGATTGCAGTAATGAGGACACCCAATAGAAAGTGAATCCACATTGAGATGGTACACAACAGGAGAGAAGCTTGATGTAATGCATTTGAATGAATTCAAAGTATTGCATATTTTGAAAAAAATCATGTAGGGGATAAAGGTAATAAGAGGAATCTTCTTAGATTCTATCGCAACATCAATGGGAAAAATCCTGGAACTGCAATTCATAGGGCATGAAAATGGGATACAAAACATTCTTCACATCAGAATGAATTGATTTAATTGATCCTAAATCATTAATTTCCTCATTCACATTAAAAATATACTTTATAAACAATATCATTCCAATAACTATCATATCTTGCAGTGAGTATGGTGAGTCTGGCACAGTTGCTGGGTGGCCTGGTAGCTGCTCTGATTGCAAAGCATTGGAGTCGCAAGTGGCTTCTCATTGCACTTCTCATCCCAATATTTGCTTCCTGGCTCATGATTGCATATCCATTGAACCTCTCAATGTTCATGATTGGTCGGGGTCTTACAGGCTTCTTCTTTGGTATTCGAACCCCCATTTCTCAGCTATACATAGCAGAGATTGCACACAAGGATCGAAGAGGTTTGCTGGCTTCATGCACTGTGATTGCTCTCACATTTGCAACTATGCTTACGTACATCCTTGGGACATTTATGGAGTGGAGAGCACTTGCATTGACTCTGGGAATAATTCCTGTGGCATTAATACCCCTAGTCCTTTTTGTACCAGAGTCACCTACTTTCCTCCTCTTACACAAGAGGCATGAAGAGGCAGCTACAGCCCTAAGAAAGCTTCGAGGCCCACATTATGATATCACAATGGAAATGGATCAAGTCATCAAGCACATCAAAGAATCCCAAGAAACAAGATCTCATTTCAGAGATATTTTTCAATGGAACTATCTAAAACCTGTTGGGTTGGTGATAATGATAATGCTGTTTCGTCAAATGACAGGGATATATGTTGTACTCAGTTTCACGGTTGATATTTTTGAGTCTGCAGGAGAAGGATTTGTTAATTCATACATTTCAACTATTAGTGTAGGAACTGTGCAATTTATATTTCTCATCATCTCAAGCCTCCTCATGGATCATGTGGGACGTAAACGCCTCACAATCATCTCGTCCTTCCTCATGACCTTTGCCCACTTTGGCTTTGGACTATACTACTACTTTCTTGATAATGAACTGTACATGGAAACTCTGAAAAGCCTCTACTGGGTCCCCATTGTTACACTGTGCCTATTTGTGGCTGGGTTTTCCTTGGGAATGAGTGCAGTAGTTTTTGTGCTAGTGAGTGAGTGCATTCCATTACAGATTCGCAATCAAGCAACAAGTATTATCAACAGCTGCAATGGATTGTTCACCTTCTTGGCCTTGCAATTATACCCATCTATGCAGAGAGGTCTGGACAACCATGGGACTTTCTTCTTTTACTGTGCCAGCTGTTTTGTGATAGGGATCATATGTATATTCTACCTACCAGAAACAAAAGGACAAACACTCCATGAAATTGAGCAGAAACTAACTATGTCTCAACTTCCAAGTTTGCCTGAAGAGGTTGTCCAATTGTCTACTTCTGAGCAAAAAAAAAGTTCCCCATACATTATGAGTTGAGGACAATTGAAAAAGAGACATCCTAGTTTTTAGGTTTTGCATGAAACATTGATACTCTGAACTTTCTGTTATTGGATTACTGTCTTTTTGTCATTATTCCAGCTTTGAATTACATGAAAATACTTTGTTGTCTATTGGTCATGATTAAAAGAGATTGTGAATAGTGTGATAATTGAAGTGAAATATTCAAAATGTCCAATATTCTTTTTCAAAATAATTTATAGAATTCTCTGAACTGTACTACATTCTGAAGGATTCTACAAAGGTGGTTGAGACATATATCTGGTAGCCATGTTTAACACCTTTGGCATTCCATACCAACTGACCAGTTTATGAAGGAATTTGATGTTTGACCATCTTAGAGAAAATGGAAAATTTCAAAGCTAACAGGTTTTACATGAAACTCCAGGAACCAAAATACTTAATTTGTCTTTCCTTTTGCACATGAGATATTAGTTTTGGAATGTTTTGGTTTTCAAGTAAATGTGCCCCCTTGGACAAATTTCATTCTTCTCAAACTATGCAAGCTATAAATATGGCTCACATGAAAGGTCTGAAATAATAGAATGCAAGTATCACCATAATAGTAAGGGTTTTATGAAACCTGAATTACGTGTCTTTTTTTAAATGTACTAATTTTTGCAATTTCATGACCCCAGTATCTTTTGTGGGAGACAACCAAGCAAAACCAAAATTGCAGTGCTAACCCCTTTGGCTCAGTTTCATGAAATAAATGTTATTTTGATTTCATTATCTCCACATGCAGAAAATGAAACTTGAATCTCCAATTTTTTGTGATCTTGCCAAATTTTCACCTCATTTCTTATGAGGTGGTGGTCTAGATGAAAATGTGGTTCATATGTCACATGAAAGAGCATTCCAAGTTCTTTTTGGGGACATGTGTTTCCTTCTGTTGCAGTATCAAAAAGTTATGATTTTTGCAATGTTGGTCAGTTGTGGCCTTGGTTCTGTTCCATATGGTCCCTCCTTGTGAAAACTGGCTCAACTATTTGATTTCTATGGTGTATAGGCAGTCTATGGGTAAGGTCGAGGCCTAAAGTTAACAAGTCATGTAAAGAGGGAAGGGTTGGAGGGGGGGGGGGTTTGAAGAAAGGGAAATATAACTGTGAAATGGTTTTTTGCACTTCATAATAACTTTTTCA